AATGTACCAAAGGTCCTAGCCAGTTTTAGATGGCCAAAAATTGACATAAATGGATCAAGTTTGAAAAAGAAAAAACTGTCATTTCTTTATAGACAGTATGATTGTTTACATACAAAATACTACAGAATCTACAAAAATGTTACTACAACCAATAAGTGAATCTGACAAGATTGTAGGACATAAGGTCAATATACAAAAATCAATTATATGCCTATATATTAGCACCAATATGTAAAATTTTAAATAAAAAATTTTTAAAAATTGAAAACAACTCCACATAATCATAAACACAAAACACTTGACTTAATAAAAGATATGTAAAAACTCTACATTAAAAACTATAAAATATTGCTAAGAGAAATTAAAGAAGATCCAATTAAATGGAAGAACATACCATGTTCATAGAATGGATGACTCAATATTGTTAAAAATGTTTGTTCTTCCCAAATTTGATCTCTAGATATAAAGCAATCCCAATCAAAGTCTCATCAGACTTTTTAAAAATAATTGACAAGTTATTCTAAAATTTATGTGGAAATACAAAGGACCTAGAATAGCCAAGATAATCTCAACAAATAACAAAACTGGAGGAGTCACACCACCTGAGTTCAACACATACTAGAAAGCTAGAGTAATAAAGAGAAAGTGAAATTATCATAATGGCCATGCAAACCTACTGAATGATGTAGCTGCATAAATATTGTTTGAGGCTCATTTTAATGTAGGTGAGCATTTCTTACTTTCAGACAAGAATGGCTATGGCAATTAAAAAAGAAATGGAGGCAGTAAAGTATAATACGGTATTTTCCAAAGTAAAAGTCACATATCACAGGTCTGAATATGATTTTAAGTGGTACACAAATGTGATTATTTTTTAAAAATCATCCCATGCTTAAAGTTATAAAGAACTTTTTTTAAATTTTGTATAAAAGATGTTCATATAGGAGTACCTGGCTGCCTCAGTCAGGAGAGCATGTGACTTTCTTTTTTTTTTTTTTAAGATTTTGTTTATTGAGAGAGAGACAGAGTGCACACAAGCAGGGGGAGGGCCAGAGGACGAAGGACGAGCAGACTCCCCACTGAGCAGGGAATCTGTTGCGGGGCTTCCTCCCAGGACCCTGAGATGATGACCTGAGCCGAATTCAGACACTTAACTGACTTAACCCAGGCACCCCGAGCATGTGACTCTTGATCTCAGTGTTGTGGGTTCGAGCCCCACATTGGGTGTGGAGATAAGTTAAAAATAAAATCTAAAAAGGGGTGTCTTGGTGGCTTAGTCAGTTAAGCGTCTGACTTTTTTTTTTTTTAAGATTTTATTTATTTATTTGACACAGAGATAGACAGAAGAGCACAAGCAAAGGGGGTGGCAGAGGGAGAGGGAGAAGCAGGCTCTGCACTGAGCAGGGAACCCGATGCGGGACTCGATCCCAGGACCCTGAGATCATGACCTGAGCTGAAGGCAGACGCTTAACCATCTGAGCCACCCAGGCGCCCTAGCGTCTGACTCTTGATTTCACCATGGAACCTGCTTAAGATTCTCTCTCTCCCTCTCCCTCTGCCCCTCCTGCACCTCTCTCCATCCTCTCTGAAAAAAAGAGAGAGAAAGGAAGAAAAGAAAGAAAGAAAAAAAAAGAAAGAAAGAAAGAAAGAAAGAGAGAGAGAGAGAAAGAGAGAGAGAAAGAAAGAAAGAAAGAAAGAAAGAAAGAAAGAAAGAAAGAAAGAAAGAAAGAAAGAAAGAAAGAAAGAAAGAAAGAAAGAAAGAAAGAAAATCTAAAAAAGAAAAAAGATGCTCATATAAAAATTTTTTTCTCGGGGCACCTGGGTGGCTCAGCCAGTTAAGCCTCTGCCTTCGGCTCATGTCATGATCCCAGGGTCCTGGGATTGAGCTCCCTCTCCTTCTGCCCCTCCTCCCCACCCCACCCCACCCCACCCCACCCCCACTTGTCCTCTCACTCTTTCTCTCAAATAAATAAATAAAATCTTTAAAAAAAATTTCTTTCTGAAAGAACCTTAAGTTTTAAAAAAGCAATAAATTATGGACTAAAACAGACACACTAACACCTCATTACAGAATTAGGCAGACTGACACACCCAATAACCAGCAGAGCAGGAAAACGCAGGCTTCCCCTTTCACTCAGAGGCTGACTCCTTTTACTGCACAGAACAAAGTGGACCAAGAAGCATGTTTTCCACAGACGGGCTGGCTTCCAGTTCACCAATCCATAACTAACGGATGGAGAGGCAAACCAGGGTTAGAGAGGACCTTCCCCACAGAAACATAAGGAGTAGAAAACAAATATGTCCCTCCCCCCACACACACACATACACACACACACACAGGACATAGACCTCTCAGTGTCCCTGGACGCAAATGTTGTCATTGTGTTTCTGTTGAATGTAGTGGCTGCCATCACTCTCACGGGAACTGAAGCTATGACCTCACCCCATGGCTGTGAGAGAGGCTGCCAAAGCAAGACTGTATCTGATGGCGTTTATTTCTATAGCATCAATCCCGTGGTGGGACCCAGGAAACAGAGAAAATGGAGGAAAGTTTGTTGGGTAGATGAAACCAACACTCTATGGAGGAGAAAACCAAGTCCAGAGAAGTTAGGTAACTTGCCAAGGTCACAGGGCAAGCAAGTGGTTTTGCATTACAAGATCAGACACTTTCCAAGCAAGTTCTGGGAACCAGAGGCTTCAGGAAGGAATTTTGGTTCTTATATGTGACAGAGAAAATTTGTGGGGGGTGGGGGTGGATAAAAAGAAACAACAAAAAAAGATGCAAAGAAAAAAATCACATCCCAGCCTGAATTTATAAGGCGCTGGGTGACCCAAGGCTACATGAAGGAGACAATTTCCCCTACTTTTTCCAGGGAGATGTGTTGTACAATGTCCCTTTTTCACAGTGATGTGAGAATTCCCAGGAAATTGGCTTTGCATTTTTACTTCATTCGAATAATTGCCTTTCTTTTTCTTTTTTTTTAAGATTTTATTTATTTAAGGGGCGCCTGGGTGGCTCAGTTCGTTGGGCGGCTGCCTTTGGCTCGGGTCATGATCCCGGAGTCCCAGGATCGAGTCCCGCATCAGGCTCCCTGCTCGGTGGGGAGTCTGCTTCTCCCTCTGACCCTACCCCCTCTTGTGCTCTCTCTTTCACTCTCTCTCTCTCTCAAATAAAATAAAATTTAAAAAATATTTATTTATTTATTTGACAGAGAGAGACAGCTAGAGAGGGAACACAAGCAGGGGGAATGGGAGAGGGAGAAGCAGGCTTCCCGTGGAGCAGGGAGTGGGATGCGGGGCTCAATCCCAGGACCCTGGGATCATGACCTGAGCCGAAGGCAGATGCTTAACGACTGAGCCACCCAGGCACCCCTGCCTTTTTTTTTTCTTTTAAAACTTTTCTCTTTTTCTTTCTTTTCTTCCTCCCTCCCTCCTTCTTTCCTTCCTTCCCTCCCTCCTTCCCTCCCTCCCTTCCTTCCTTCCTTCCTTCCTTCCTTCCTTCCTTCCTTCCTTCCTTCCTTCCTTCTTTCCTTCCTTTCTTCCTTCCTCCGTCCCTCCTATCCCTTCTACCTCCATTCCTATACGATTCTTCGGCAATTTGGGGCTCTTTCTCTAGTTTTAGAGTCTGTGCAAAGAGACAGGCTCTCTGTAACTCAGACCCACTGGCAGAGGCTCACATTCTGGGTGGCAGCCGCCTGGGCTGTTGCCTGGTTCATCTCGACCCTTGTTATTCAGAGACTGCTTTAGGGATTGCGTTGGACAGCTAGTGAGCACCCCCGCTTGGCGGGCCTGCCCTTGGGAGTTCTTGGGGTAGTGACAAAAGCTCATGTCCTCAGGACATGCCCTGCTCCCCTGTGTGTACTTTGTTTCATTCTGAGATTTAATTTATTATTCCAGTCTCCTGTTGCACAAGACCTGTATAACTAATCCAGGCCACTCCTTTGTTTCTCCCTGAAATATGGCTTTTGAAAGCTCCTATTGTTTCAAGGGGACTTTTCTGCTGTCTTTTGAGAGAAGGAGATGATTAGGTCTGTTTCTTCTGGTCGGATAACTCTCCCCACATCTCCACCTGAAGACCCATCAGAAGTCCAAGGACGTAGCACATGGCCAAAGCTCCTACTAGTGATGACACAGAACTGGTTAATATGGTTAGAATTTATAGTTGAAGTTCAAGGACAGCAGTCTCTGGGGAGGGCAGCAGTGGGCAGGAGGAGCCTTAAAAGCACATTTATATATCACTTTACACAATAGCTAACAATAGGTTCTACCAATAATCCCACTTCACAGATGAGGAAACTGAGAGACCCGGGGTGAAGGTCACATAGCGTAAGGGGTAGAGCCAGGATTCTAATCTCAGCAGTCTGGCTTCAGAGTCTGTACTTATAACTTCTACGTTGAGAACCTCTTCCCTCCCCCAGCAACCCTTGTTGCCGCGACTAGAATCCTCCAAGAGAATATTCTTTCTCTCTCCAGTGTCTCCCCACCACCCTGCTTTATTTAGCCAGAGTATGTCTCTTGGTGTTAAAAACCCCAACTGCCATTGGTAAAATGGGAAAAATAATGGTACCTGTTTCAGATGGTTTTATAAATTCTAGGCATATGGTAAACATCCAATAAGTGATCATTATTACTATAAGCTATTAGAGAATTTTACAGAGGTTTAGAAAATACTGGCTAAAGATGAGATGTCTCTGGCTTCCTTAGGCTAGAATTCTCCATTATTGCTTTACCAGTACAAATACAAACAGGTTGTTTATCATTGTAGTTGTGTATCTTATTCAGAATTTCAAATTTAGAAATTTCAGTTCAGTCACTTGGGTCAAAAAAGAACCATTTCTGCCATCCCCACAAAGCAAGCTTGGGAACCGTTAGGTTTGAGACCCACAAGAGGGCACACCAGGCAAAAGATCTCTATCTTGGTCTCACCATTTGAGCTTTGCCCACACACATTAATTCAGATGCATAACAGAACAAAAGAAAGTACACAGTGTATTCTTTCATTAATGGGTTTATTTATCGGGAATGGAAGAGAAGAATAAAGGCTGCCAATGAGAATAGCCAGTTTTCAGGGAATTAAAAGACACTTCTGCCTGAACGTGCTAAAAGTTTAAATAACAAATAATAAATTATCTAAGTCAGTAGCTTTTAAAGCGTGTTCAGGGGAGCCCTGGAGTTTTGCAAAGGCACCTCAGCGGCAGCTCTGAAGTTAGTCATCATCCCACTGGCTGAATGTTAACTTGCAGAGGAATGAATGTACCGAGGCTCTGAAGCAGGGAAATGACTTTGAAACAGATGCACCAGAACCTAAAGAGGTGCTCCATCCTGAATATGTTTTGGTCAGGCCACTTCCCACCTCTGGTTTCTGTTTTCTTTTCTGTCCAATGAGGAGAATCAATGATGGAAAGGAAACAGAATTCTTTTGGCTCTAAAACTCTGAGATCACTGTATGAGTTGTGTTCCCCACAATGTCTGCTTCCAACAAAAAAATAGCGTGGGATTATCTTCATACCACTGTCTTCAAAGCTGGTACGTCATTTCTTTGACATTTCTCAGTGATTGCAAATCCTAGCTCTTTCGTTTGTCCATTTGTTCAAACCGGGTATTTTTCTTTCACTCCAGAAGTGTTTAGTGAGTGCCTTTCAAGAGCCAGATACTGGTCTAGGGGAGGAAAAAATGAATAGGCCAAACTGTTCTGTTTTCTCCAGGGACTCCCAGTCCAGTGATGAGCTGGTAAACCCACTCGTGTGGTTTTTTGGAATGGTTTATAGATGTCTCCTAGGTCTGACCCTTCTGACTAGGGATGATAATATGTGTGAGCCAAAGATCAGAGAAACTGGTAGTTGCCTTGGAAAGAAGGGAGACCCGCCTCCCCAACCTTTTGATGGGTTTCCAATAAATATCTTCTGGTTCAGAGACCATAAGGTTTCAGTCTGAAAGCAGTCCATTCTCCTATTCCCACCTCTTTGGTAAGTGCAAAGTACCTTCAATTCCCAGATCCCTTCGGTGGCTGGCTGGTTGGCAGTTGAACGTTGTTTATAAGGATCTCTGATGCAGGCTTGTTTAGCAACATATGACACTTGGTTCAAGTGGATCACTGTGCATAGTTAGGAACGGCAGCCTGTGTAGTAATCTGATTGAGATTAATCTAGACTCAAATTCCAGGCCCATCTAACTGGCTCTGTGCCTTTTGGCAAGCTAGTCAACTTGGCTGAACCTTATTTTTCCTGATTTGTAAGATGAAATTACAGACATCTCATGAGGTTGTCAGATGGGTAAGAACTCACTGATACGGAGTGCCCAGTATCTGTTTATGCCTGGGTAGGATTCAAAGAGTGGCAGCTCTTTTTATGATGAGCTCTGCTAGAGGGTGTTAGTCATCACGCTGCCTATGAATGAAGAGCTGACTGGACCAGTGCTCTGAGATCATTGCTGGAACTTGAAGGAATCACTGCAGGGCTGAGCAGAGGCTTACAGATGTATCCTGGGTGGGAGTCAGAGAACCCCCAGAACCACAGAAGGAAGAAGTTGGGGTGAAGCTGAGTCAGTAGTCTGGCCAAACCAGTTGATGGAGTGGAGATCTGAACTGGATTCAGAAGAGAAACTTCCATGGCCTCACATCAAAGAAGGTTCATTGACATTAGAATTCTAGGAAAGTGAATGGATGAGGCTTTTATCCCCCATTGACCTGCTTGATTAAACCAGTAATCTCTGGAAAGCCACATCATCACCATTTGGAACATTAAGCCAGAAAATCTCAACAGTGGAGGACGCCTTTGGTGTACATAATAATTCTGGAACTGGAGCTTGGTGAACGGTACCTTGAAAATGGAGGAGTCTTCTTCCCACACTGGTATTTGGAGGTTAAGGATCTGCCAGCTCAGAGGTTGCAAACTGGAGGCCTTTGTTGTCCCATCTATTTCAACCTGAACGGCGTTTAAGATGCAATTTCACCTAGTTTTCTTGGCTTTTCTCAAATATTAGACAATAGAGCCACACGGAACCTACATTCTTGCACAGCAAGTTTGCTGGCACCAACTCTTTGGGGGTTTCAGATTATTTGCCAACTTTCTCCTTGAAATAATCTTTTCTTCTGGTTTTTGTAACCCTGCTCTGTCCTCATTTTCCTCCTCCCTCTCTACCTGCCCTTTTTCATTCTGTTTTATACAAGCCCTTCCTCCTATTGCCTTAAATGCCAGCAATCTCAGGGCCCTGTTTTAGATCCTCTTCTCTTCTCCCTATTCCACATACTCCTGATCAATCTTTTGAGTCCCAGCTATATGCTGTTGTAAAGGAGAAAATCTTTTCCCCTTCTTCCCTTCTGGGTTATTTGGCTGGTCTAATAACTAAATTGACATAAGAGAGATCAACAAGAGAAAAGCAAATTTAATTTTGTATGTACAGGAGTCCATAAAAATAGAAGATTCAAAGAAGCGACCAAAGCAGACAGCTTTGTTATACTTTTTAGACAAGGAAGTAATACATTTGTGAAGAATTAGCAAGACAAAAGGGTTTGGACTTGGTGTAGCAAATTAGTGAAAAAGTAACAAGGTTTGTTAAACTGCCCTCTCGGCCCTAAATTCCCTCTGGTGATAAGGATGCCTCTAGCCTCCGGTACAGGGAGGGTACCTTTCACATGGCAGACTTATTTCCTCTTTTCAAGGGGACAAAGGAAGGTCAGAGTGTCCTTTTTGCACTGGCTGTTTTTTAAGTAACTTTAATTCAAAGTAATCAATTTGCCAAAGTGACATGTTTTGGGGTGGCATATTCTGCTGTCCTTCACTGCTTATATCCATGAGAGCTCGATGACACATCAGGGACTTGTTGAATTATGCAGAAGCAGAAGATGGGGTTCTGGTGTGATATTTTTCTTTTTCCCTTTTATCCTTTAACTGAGCGAGGCTGTTTTATTCTTAAGATCATACTGCTCGTTTTGGAAACTTAGGAAAACACAGGAAGTTCTAAGTAAAGAAATAGAAATCGCCTATAATCCTGAGATAACCACTGTTAATATTCTGGTTAGAGAATTCTACACCATGCTGATTTCCATCACTATCCTCTCTTACTGTAAGTTTTTCTTCATAAACTCATTGTCTTATTTACTATTTTCTTATCTTCTTTGCTATGTGTTGTCTACTGCCCCAGATGACGCCTAGCACATAGGAGGTGCTCAGTAAGTCTTTATTGAAAAAATGAGTCTCTCTCTACATATACAACAGAGTTGAGATCATATATATACAGTCTTAGATTTTTCTTCGTTTAGCTTCATACTCCCATCTTGCCACTGACTTAAGCATTTCTCTGTCATCTGGGATGACAAGTGCATTCTTTTATGAATTAAGAGAATCCCCAAGAGTCTATCAGTGGCCTCCCATTTACTTCTTCACTGAAGATGAACACTATAGACCTCCAACCTTATTAGAGTAAATCAAGAGCAAAGCTTTGGGAACTATAAATTTTACTAGCAGGTAGATGCTGACACTATTCTCTACCCTTACAATACTTAGCTTCTCTTAGTAGAGAGAACTCTTAAGTTTGCTTTTACCCAGGAAAGAAAGGCAACCTCCCCCTTGAAATCTTCCAAGAGATGCTATTAGATCCTTTGAACTCTTCTTGAAATAGTGGTCCATTGTCCTTGGGGAATGGAGGCATGCTGACACCAGAATTAATGTCCAGAGAACCTGAGAATGGATGCTACCATTTCTAAACTTCAACCCCAAATGGGGAGAAAGTGGTCAGGTGGGAAGGTACTGCCTGAGCAAAAGGTGAACAGAAACTGTAACGGGGGTGTGAGAAGGGGTAAGGACAGAGAAAGGGAGAAGGTACGTTGAAAGGAGCATGGGCTCGGGGAAATAGACCAGGGCTCCCATCCCATTGCCCAGTCACCAAATGTGGGACTTTGAGTGAGATGCTTAGAACTTCAGGTCTCAATATACTCATCTTTTTTTTTTTTTTTTAACATTCTTAGTTTATTGATCCTCTCATGAAAAATCTGCACAACCAGATAAAGCCACTGCAGCATCTTTACTCCTTCTGTTGTCCAATCTCCAGCTCACTTTTTGCCAGCACCAACATTGGCTTTTGCAGTCCCCCTGACTTTCTTCATTCTGTTCTTGCGTTCCTTTCGCTGTTTTCTGGATGTCTTTTTCTTCTCATGCAGGCCATGTCTTGCAAGTCTGTGTTTGGGTTCATTTTTCTTTGCATAATCCAAGGAATCATGTATCATGCCAAAGCCAGTTGTCTTGCCACCACCAAAATGGGTTCTGAATCCAAACACAAATATGACATCTGGTGTGGTCTTGTACATTTTGGCTAGTTTTTCCCGAATTTCTGTCTTAGGTACTGTTGCCTTTCCGGGGTGAAGAACATCAATGACCATCTGTTTCCGCTGAAGTAGTCGGTTAGTCATAAACTTCCTGGTCCAGATAGTTACTGTGTCGTTCATGATGGCGGCCAAGCTTCAAGCAGCTGGGGAGGAAAAGAGCTCAATATACTCATCTTTAAAGAAAGCAATTATCAATAGGTAATAGTGCTAACGATCAGGCCTTTCAAGATGTCCGTGCTCAGAAACTCTGGAACAGTACAGATGAAAAGCACAGTATCACAGTATCTGGAAGTGGCTGCTAAAAGGAAGTAGCCTCACTGGAATTAACAGGAGAGGCTAGGGTTACTTGGATGACGATTATCAAAAGAACTTATTTTAAGCAAACTTGAAACATAAACATGTTACCAATATTGACACTGTGAATTATTAACTCTTATTTCTGCTCTGAGGGTCCCTGGCACTATTTGAGTTGTGGAACTCTTCAATGTTTGTTTCTATAGCCTAAGTTGTCCCCAGATTTACTCCCCTGGGGTAAAATGAAAATTAAAGGGAAGACAGAGTGGTGAAAAAATTTAAAAAAAAAAAATACTAAAGTATAAAGATAGGCAAAGTGATGCTAAAAATCCAAATTAAAACTAGGCCAGAATATTTACATATTTTATTAAATCTTTACAATCAGTAATTATAATCAAATACACAATTATATACAGGATTTATATACATTTTGCCCAGACTTTTACATCACAGTACAGAGTTTCCCTTAGAAATATTGTATACATTTATCACCAAACAATAAAATCCAACAACAGTAGTGTTACAGCACCTGTTAGTACAGACATCTTTTTCATAAATTACATCATAAGAAAATATACGGCTGTAAATTGGGCTTTTAAAAATGTCTTTTATAAAATCTGAACATACAATATTTCATTCACAGAATGTTTTTTTTTTTCTATGTTCTGACTGAAGCCTTGTGCATAAAACGACCGGCTGGAATATTTACTAAATCAGCTCCCCCCCACCCCCCACCTCCAAAATTATAAGCACTATCTGAATTACTTACGCTGAGCTTCCTTAATGATGAATCTGGCATGGGGTTTGGTGAGAGAACAAATGCTGGTTTTGTTGTAAAAAGGGCTATGACGGTAATTTAAATTTTTAAAAAATTCTCAAAAGAATAATTATATTAGAAATTAAAATCAGAGAGCACAAAATTTTTCATTTTACTAATACTGTGAAGAAAAAGGGGAAAGTATAATGTCAAAAAACAATTTGTTCTGAAACAATTGTATTCTTGTTGGAAGCCTATTAAAGGTTAAAAAGAAAAAAAAAAAAAAACCCACCCTACCCAACAAAATATCCCATCCTAAACATATCCAGTAAATTACAATTCTGTCACACTTACAACTTTATGGAAAAATTATTGCAAATTAGGGCATAGCATTTCAACAGACTTTCATGAGCAGAAAAAACTACAGCTATTTTTTAGTAGGTAAACAAGTTAAGTTTTAAAACTTGAAAATACCTGAATTAAATACTTGCTCTAATATCTAACTTTTCATTTTCAGATAAAATCCTTACTTGATTCCAGGTTTGTAAACATTGTATAAATCCTTCTTAGTCAAACAATTTTATGGCTGTGGTGATCACTTCAGCTCTGTTTCTATGCAGTCAACATTTAACTGAGGTAGACCAGATGTTTCTAAAATTCAGGGTCTCACAGAATCCCCTGAATATTTAGGAAGTAAATAAAATGTCTATCAAAGGTATTTAAAAAACAAAACATTAAAAAAAAAAAACACCTAATGCTGTTGGAATTGTTTAATGAACTCAAAAATAACTTTATGGCAGTAAGTCAAATAAGAATGTGTGGAGTTAATGATAATGTTAAGAGTTTTGAAGCTGAACATTACACCTTCTTAACTAGGGAAAAATCAAGTATGATTCCTTCTGGGTGTTAAGTATAACTTGTTAAATTTTTTGCCTTTTTTTTTTTTTTTAAAGGACTCACTTTTCTAAAAAAGCGAACAATTTGCTTCTAGACTTCAGTGAATGGCAACAACCCCCCCTACCGGCCAAAGGCAGGGAGAGTAATCAGCTGGCTCTCGTATACCATGAGATCTTCCCTGGGAAAAAACTCATGTGGTTTTAACTTAGAAAAGTTGGACTTAGACAACAACGGCTCTGAGTTACAAACACAAAATCAAATCAATGTATATAAGGCTTCTGTAATCAAAGTCTTAGAGGAACATCTGCTCCTTTTCTCCAAGCCCCAGTCCTATAAATCAAGGCAAGTCAAGTAATTAAGCTTCAGCTATTTTGGCAGCTTTGCAATTAATATGAACAAAGCACTATGTCTATCCTTCCATATACTGTATGCATTATAGTTCTATCTTCTTACACCAAATCTCACATGCAGAAAGACTAAAACAGCCATTTTAGTGTCAGGTTTAATTAAGGGCCAATAAAGGTCTTATATTACTACTCTTCCCCACCCTCCCCCCCAATAGTGAATTCTCTATTACTTTTATTACTCACTGACCCAATTACATTTAGCTGGAGTTTTTGAAAGCAGCTATTTATCCCCTTAAAAAAGAATATGTTTACCTGGGATCTAAGACATACTGTACATGAATATACATAACTACAATACAGCACTGCTCTTTTAACAGCTCCATATACAGTTTAAGTTCATCAGTACCTCAAAACTGTGTTTTAAGAAAAGATTATTATGTAATGTCACGGTAAAGAGAAAGAAAATTAAGTCTCACAAATAATCCTTTAGAACTGATTAAGTTTAAAAAAAAATAAATAAAATGAGTAAAAACATGATTTCAACTACAGGGCTGTCTACAGGATATCAACAACAGTTTTTAAAACTTAAATGTGGCCAGCACCAGACTGCCACCAAAAAAAAAAGAAGGAAAATAAATTCTCATTAAGCTATATGGCTATATGTTAGTTGCTACTGTGTAAGTTTCCTACACAGGTTACCATAGATTAATTTTCAAGTCCTTATCAGAAGGAATATCTGTTAAAAAAAAAAGGTTTTAAAAAAAAAAACTTTAAAAACCATGATTCAACAGAAAATGTGACAGACTCCCTAGGTGCATCTTTAGAAACCACAGTTTCAAAGATGAAAAATAGTTGTTTCCCTAGGATTTTTAGATCACTACCACAGTTTTATTATGGCTCCCTAAGATAGAAAAATGGAACAAAATGTATTCAGCTATTGGCGATATGGCCCTTGTGGCTCAAATTGCATACTAAACATGGGATGGAGTAAGGCTGATGGCTAGAGGTAATCACCTCTAAGAGAAATAAACTGGACAAGATTTATAATTTACCCGACAAGGACAGAACTTTAAGTTCCATTTCAGAGTAGTCACGGCTTTCCCTATGGAAGGCCCAATGGCAAGTTCATATTACTTTATAGTTTCTCCCTTGTTCCATTTTTCATAAGTATTAAGTAACCAATTTCCATAATATATGACCTTTTTACCTGGTCCCAATGATTAACCTTTATGCAAAGAACTCACTGAGAAAGTACACTGGCTTCACCTTTGGTTTAAATGAAAAGGACATTGTTAAGAGAGAAAAAAAAATCAAGTCATCTTGATCATTTGTTACACAATGAAGCAAGTGAAAGTGATGAGCAAAGGCTGTTTTCCCCATAAATGCATTTGCTTCATAACCACTTAGGTCACTTTGAGTGTTTTTGTGAAGGCAGCATAACCAGAATGCCCACAATACTCAGATGTCTTTTCCCAAAAGAGCCTCTAACCCCAAAACCAAGAAAGCCGCACTTCCTTTAATTAGAAATCTATACAAATTCCTATTCTCCACTCCATCATTAACTGAATTTGTTTCTGGTCTATCCAGAGACTACAGAAATCTGGTTCCTAGGAATGCCCAGCAATCTTTTCCTGGCCTGAGGTGCTGCAGGGTGGTGCGATGCTGTCACCAGGTGGGGGTCAGGGTTGGGGAGGGGCTGTGAGTTTCCATTTAGGATGGGACAGTTTTAAGCAAGGTCAATTCTAACACAGCATGCTCCAGATTCCTATGATAACTATCTCAGTCAGAACGTGGTTGCTCATCACCATACTTAAAGACTCCCATGAGAGAGCCTGCTTAGTATCTGGATGTCTGTGAACCACAGTTTGCCTTTTCTTTTTAAATACCTACCACCAGACTCTTTAGTGAGTCATAGTTCATCTTTCTCCATCATTTCAAATGCTTCTATATCTTCATTCCAGTCTGCTAATATGGAGTCTATAGGCTGGACCTTTTTACCCCAGCTAACATTAGGATTGGAATCTTCCTCAGTTTCTGATTGTTCTTGAAGTTGGTTATCTAAATCTGTACATTCACCATCAAGACTTGTAGTCTCGTGGATTTCCATGGGGTTAGAATTCTGTTCAGAAGCAGAAACACTTGCAGCATTGTCCATATCTGCGGAAGATGGTGATTCTGGTTGCGAATTTAGAGAACTTTCCTCAGGAGACTCTTGATCAACCAAATCAACCTCCTGAGAACTTGATGTAATCTGTTCAGCACTCTGATTCTGAGAATCATTTTCAGAGGATGGTTGTTCTTCATTTTCCATTTCAGGATCTGTAAATGAAAGAAACAAGCTTCATGCTACTTTCCCACTCAAAATATTTACTATCACAGTTTTAAGAACATAGTGGTTGTTGCAATAGAATGAAGAAATAAAAGAGGAAGAAAAGCATGTTAATGCAGAACAGTGAACATTAACATTGAAGAGTAAAAGTACTGCCTTCGAATAATAATGTAATCACATTTTCCGTTATATGCATTTTGCAAAATGTGACAGTACAAAATAAATATTCTTCCAAACTAAAAGGAATTACTCTAATAACTTTAAGACTGCCTTCAATGGGGATCAGCAAATGCTAAGAAATACACTAAATAGTATTATTAAAGTGCACATAAATTTGCACTATATGTCTAAAATTTATTGTTAAATATCTAAATTCAGGAAAGCTTGTACATGAGAACATACGAAGTAGAATAAATTTTAAATAGCACTTCTCACTATGTTTTAAGATAATATTCTTCTGAGAAGTGAAATTCCACTCAGTAGGCCATGAAAATGCTGATAATACGAAATTATGGATGATTTGAGGGTATTAATGTGGTTAGATAAAATATTTTCATAAAGACAAGCAAGAACTGAGATTATTTACAAAACCTGTATTTCATTATTGTAGGTCTATGAATTATAAGCTATCATTTTAAAATCCACTGGAAGGCTGAAGAGTGGGTTAAAGCTCTTGTACTGAATAGAGTGACCCCACTAGAGGCATTCTGTTTCGGGTTCCTACAAGAGCGTGCGTAAACGGCACTGATCACACTGACGCCCTGTGGCCTCCTCCCAGGCTCTGTGGGCAGTCAGAACATAGGCCCTGGGTGTCCTCTCTTGGTGTGGCAGGCATTGTGCAAGGGGCTAGAGATAAAATGAGGCAAAACCAAACACCAGACCTGCCCTCAGGAATCTTTTAGTCCAGTTGGGGAAAACATTTACAAATAATCACACAAAATAAACGGAAAACTCTTAACTGTGACATGTTTTGTGTTGCTAGGAAAGCTTACGGGGGAATAAGAAAGAATAAGGAGAGTTGAGGGTTTCCTTCAGAAGGTGACACTTGAGCTGAGATTTAAAAGATAAGTAGAGTTAATGAGTCCAAGAAGGAAGGGAAGATGGACATATTATAAAACCAGAAAAACTAAAGGAAGCAAGCATGCAGGAAGGTACAGAGAGGCACATTTATGTACACCCTGATGAAGTAGGATTACCTGACTAGGGAAGTTTAAGTTCTTGGGGGCTGGGGGGGTCCCCACACTCTCTCTCTTCTAAGCTGTGGAAAAGGTATACTTTAATTCAGCAATTAGGAAAACCAAGGCGGGGACCAAAGAAGAGAACGCAGGAGCTGGTCACTCATTTACACTAAGCTACCCTAAGTTCAAGGGAAAACAAAAAGGAAAACCTTCAGGTTTTTTCTAGATTGTATTAATCTGGTTTAGAAGTATAGAAAAAGGTGAGGTACTGTCTCATCTAGTAATAAAAATTGTGCTTTTGGCAAAAAATTACCGTAGGGATACATATTATGCAATATATTTTAGAAATCTAGGTAATACAATAGGGTAAGTGTAAATACAGGAAAAGAATAGATCAAATTGTATTTTTAGACTGCTGTATGCTTAAACTCAAAGCGACTCTTAATTCTTAAAAATACCATTAAGATAATAAAAGAACTTGATAAGGAGGGTAAAAGTAAGATAAATAGGCAAATAACCTCTCTATAGTAACAACTGGTTAGAAATAAAATTAAGTACCCTTTTCATAATAAAAAACTGTAAAACGATTAAATTTATTATGAAAGATACAAGACCTACATTACTCAATACCATAAAATTTTTTTTTTAAAAGATTTTGTTTATTCATTTGACAGAGATACATACAGCGAGAGAGGGAACACAAGCAATGGGAGTGGGAGAGGGAAAAGCAGGCTTCTGGCAGAGCAGGGAGCCCGATGTGGGGTTCGATCCCAAGACGCTGGGATCATGACCCAAGCCGAAGGCAGACGCTTAACGTCTGAGCCACCCAGGCGCCCCCTCAATACCATAAAATTTTAATGAAAACATAAAACAAGATCTGATTACATTTACAAGTAAGTGTATGTTCCTGGATGGAATGTTCTTAATATTTAACAAAAACTTCCTATTTATACATAAAGCGTACAACTATCCAATTCCAAAATGAACCCCATTTCTACTTTTTTTTGTTTTCTTTTGGGACAAGATAGAACTATTTTGAAGTTCGTATGGAAGAATATACATCGAAGAGAAGAAATTTTGAAAAGAATTAGTGAGAAGAGAGTTGCCTTATCAGGTATCAACATGCATTCAAAACAGCAAACTTTTATTATTGGCATAGGAGTGAACAGACAGATTAGTGGAAAAGAAGAGCAAGTCTTGAAACAGAGGAAATATATAAGACTATCTGATAGACAGCCAAGAGGCGGCAATCAGGAAAGTAAAGACGGTAGATGGAGAAACAGAAAAGGCAAGGAAGGAGTTAGTGTCTGCCACACTGCTTCACAGCTTTATTCTACGGTGTGGGTTAGCACCCCGTATGAAGCATCAGAGTCCTCAGAGCATTAACAACTACATCAGGGGCGCCTGGGTGGCTCAGTTGTTAAGCGTCTGCCTTCGGCTCAGGTCATGATCCCGGGGTCCTGGGATCGAGCCCCGCATCGAGCCCCGCATCGGGCTCCCTGCTCCACGGGAAGCCTGCTTCTCCCTCTCCCGCTCCCCCTGCTTGTGTTCCCTCTCTTGCTGTGTCTCTGTCAAATAAATAAATAAAAATCTTTAAAAAAAAAAAAACAAAAAACAACTACATCAATTCAGGAATGGTGTATCGGAAACAGAGGAAGCATAAAAAAGAGTGAAGAAAATCTCAAGATACAAAGACAAGAAAATGATTCAGTTTTAATAATAAAAGGACAAGGGAGCCTTGGCAAAGACCTAAGAGACTGGATGTTATACAATCATTCATTTATCTGTATAGCCAGCATTTGCTGCAAGCCCGGATAACAGAGATAAGAGCAGGTAAAGCAGCAGGATGTAATATGAATGTCAAAGTAGAACTATATTAAAAAGACCCTTGGGGCGCCTGGGGGGGTGCAGTCATTTAAGCGTCAGACTCTTGGTTTCAGCTCAGGTTGAGATCTCAGGGTCGTGAGATCGAGCCCCATGTCAGGCTCTGCACTCAGCATGGAGTCTGCTTAAGACTTTCTCTCCCTCTCCCTCTGCCCCTCCCTCTGCTCTCTCTCTAAAATAAACAAATAAATCTTAAAAAATACACCCTTAGACAAACCATGAGAGACTATGGACTCTGAGAAACAAACTGAGGGTTCTAGAGGGGAGGGGGGTAGGGGGATAGGTTAGCCTGGTGATGGGTATTAAAGAGGGCACGTACGGCATGGAGCACGGGGTGTTATATGCAAACAATGAATCATGGATCACTACATCAAAAACTAATGATGTAATGTATGGTGATTAACATAATAAAATAAGACCCTTAAATTTTACCTATGAGAATAAGAGAAAATTCCACTAAATGGTGGTATTTATTTATTTTTTTTTTTAAAGATTTTATTTATTTATTTGACAGAGAGAGAGACAGCACAAGCAGGAGGAACAACAGAGGGAGAAAAAGAAGCAGGCTCCCCACTGAGCAGAGAGCCTGACATGGGGCTTGATCCCAGGATCCGGGGATCATGACCTGAATCAAAGGCAGATGCTTAACCGACTGAGCTATCCAGGTGCCCCAAAAAGGTAGTATTTAAACTGGGTATGCAGGATGGCTAAATTTCCTCAAAGAGGAAATGGGCCATGGGAGTGCAGATAGGGATGGATAAGCATTTCAAAAAAGGGAAGAGATGTGCAAATGCATGAGATGCAAAGATGCATGAGAAAACATGCCAGGTCATAGAAGGGGTGCAGGTAAATACCAATTTGGCTTAACAAGAATGTTTCAGATGCTCCTTTCTACACAAAGAGGTCTTCTGCATACATATTAAATTTTGCAGTTCAACTTTAGGGCAGATTAACCCCAATCAAGTTCAATGGGAGATAATCTTAGGGAAAGTAACACTGCTAGACTTAAATCTTGAACAGTTTGAACCATGGGACCTTTCTTTTCTTTCCCCCATTTTCTCTGTCCACCTCTTTATCTGGTAGATATAAGTATAGGAGTAGCTCTGAAAACATCAGTCTACAGCTCTCAAGGCAATATAGGCCTACACTGTAAACTGAAAGCATGATAACATATGGGACCTTTAAAATGCTGATTCTTTTCCCCTTGAAAATACTACTGAGAACAGGAAATTGATTCTTAATTATAAACTGTTTCAATCTGAATCTAAATGTAACAGTACAGTGTCATTTGTTGGTGAGCACAGAGCTGGAATTTTTTTTAAGATATTATTAATTTATTTTATTATTTATTTGACAGAGAGAGACAGAGCGAGAGAGGAAACACAAGCAGGGGGAGTGGGAGAGGGAGAAGCAGGCTTCTCGCTGAGCTGGGAGCCCGATGCGGGGCTCGATCCCAGGACCCCGGGATCATGACCTGAGCCGAAGGCAGTCGCTTAACAACTGAGCCACCCAGGCGCCCCTGGGCTGGAATAATTCTTAAAATTTGGAAAGGTGGAACACATGAGAGACATATTAAAACTTCCATGGATAGCTCAACTTTTAGAAGTAGGACTGGTCTGACCTGAGGAAGCAATTATT